CCTGGCATGGGCAGCCTAGGCCCTGGGCCCCTAAGGAGTGCTCTGGAAAGCAGTTCCCACCCAGCCCCAAGCCCATGCCTTCTAAGAATGTCTCCTCAGCCCCTGCCTCCAGGGCCCATGTCCTGTCCTAAGTAAGTCCTGTGTGGGCTTTTCTCCCCAGCCACATCATCATGGAAGTCCCTGCTGCCCGCTGCTCACCTCCAGCCCAGAACCAGGGATGAAGGAGAGGCCGATGTGTTGGGTTTTCACTTCTCTCATGACAAGATGCCCCTTGATCTCCAGAACTCAGTCATCAAGCCCTCCCAAATCATGAGACTTTTTCAGAGTCAAAGTCCACTCTGTCCTCCCAGTGAAACTCATTGGAGGATCAGACATTTTTGCTCCCATTTCCCCCATCCACTCGTCACCCCCACCCCGCATAAATCCTTCCCTCCCAGGTCCTGAAGGTGTCAACGGTATGGGGCAGAGAGCAGATTTGAGCAAGAGAAAGGCCTGTCTGGAGGCAGATTCCTCCCCTAGACTCTGGCAACCCCCTTGCAGGTGGTCCAAGGCTGCCAGTGTGCCACCTTTTGGTCGTGATCTTCGCTGCTGGATACCAGACACCGTCCAGCCAGCCCCCCTCTCCCGGGACCAATGCTTGCAGATGTGCCCTGGCAGCAGGATCGCCAAGGGAAGACCTGGAGCCAGGGGCAGCTGCCAGAGGACTCGACAACCCTTCACATCCGGGCCAACTAAGCCGCCCTCCACCGCCACATACAGAGTCACTTTCTGAAATGCTCGCCACTCCCTAACTGCCACAGACCACCTACACCACCACAGAACACCGAGAGACCAGCAACACCAGAGGCATTGCCAGCAACTGTCCCCTGAAGGTCCTCTGGGGGAGGGCGGGAACTGTGCAGAAAATCAGCGGCCGCCGGCAGAAAGGCCTTTGTGCGCGGGCAGCGCCAGGCCTGGGGTCTCTGCCGCACCACTCCCCACCCCCACTCCCAGCCAGCCTCATCAGGGGACTGAGCCTCTCTCAGGGCCTCTGGGATGAGCTGCTTTTCCTTGGATGACAGATAGCGGCAGAGGAATGGTGGCCAAGTGGATCCATTAGTAAGATGCAGGGTCCAGGTGTGTGACTTAACAATCTGACTGAGGGGCTAGATCCCCATAGCCCAGGAGGCCGGCCTGCTCCAGGGTCCACACACACACCAACTCCTCTCCCACGGCTGGCCTACTGGAAGGAAGCTGGGGTGCTGCAGCCTCATGGGCACACAGCCCTGCTCACCCATCCCAAACTGGCAAACACTACCTTAACAGAATTATCAATGGTAACTCACTAGAAAGCCCGAAACAATGGCTTATGCCTGTAATCCCAGAACTTTGGGAAGCTGCATTGGGAATATCAATTATGGCCATAAGTTCAAGACTATACTGGGCAGAAAAACAAGACCTCATCTCTACAAAAATTAGACAAATGAGCAAGACATTTTGGTGTGTGCCTGTAGTTCCAGTTACTGGGGAGGTAGAGGCAGGAGGACCCCTTGAGCCTAGGAAGGTCTTGGCTGCAGTGAACTACGATTCTGCCACTGCACTCCAGCCTATGCAACAGAGCAAGAGCCTGACTCAAAAATAAATGTAACCTCACTAGACAAATCTATATCATATGCTTCCTAAATGACACAGATTGCTTCTTTGTTATTCCTGCCCAAAAGATAAAACCTGAGTCTAATCTTGAGAAAACAGCAGACAAGCTGAAATTGAAAAAGATCTGGCAAAGTAAATAGCCTGTCTTCATCAATATATATGGTAGTCACGAAATAAAAGGACATACTGAGATTAAAAATTAAAGACACTAAAGACTCGTGACAACTGTATACCACATGGGACCATCCAAAATATTATTAGGACAGTTGGCAAGATCTGAATAAGGTCTTTGTATTACAAAACGTGATATTAGCAACAATTTCCCAATTTTGATCATTTATAAGGATTACTTGTTTTCAGGAAACACACACCAGAAAGTTGGTAAAGAGGCATCATTTCTGCACCTCTTCCCCAATTTTATACACACACAGACACACACACACATATACACACACACATCATCACTTTTCTGCCCTTTTGTGTACTATAGGGGCCAGAAGCAAGGAAATGCAGAAGGAAGCTGATAAATAAAAGAGGAAAGCTGGCTCCCTTAAGAGCTCTGTTTAGGTTTTTCAAATGGAGGCATCTGTGTTCCACTTTGAATTCTAGTTCAGCACGTGCACATGTGAACCTGCATCAGTGTCCAACAGCACAATGTCTCTGCTCTACCACTGTGAGTTCATTGTATCTTTGATACTTATTTAAAGTATCTCCTCATTTTTGAAGATTCTTCTAAATTCCCTCTGAAAGCAATTCATGCTTGGCTCCACCTGTCTTTCTAGACCTGAAGCCTTCCTGTGTTGCATAGATCTGTTTCCATCATGCTTTGTTTCCCATCCTGGACATTTTGATGCGGATATTTATCAATACTTCTCTGATTTCTTTCTGGCTTCTTACAGTTTTGCATTTCTACTTTTCTTCATTGAAGTCACATGTCATTGACATTAGGTTTTCAGAAATTAATACTGCTCTACAAACCCTGGGAGGACTGGATAAAGTGTCATTCCTGTGTGCAGAGAGCCAGCCTAGATATTTCCCTCTCCTCAGTACAAGCCAAATGAAACTCTTTTATTCTTGTTGTTGTTAGAGGGTGGCTAAAGAAAGGTTTCATCTTACCCTCCCCCCAGCTTTTACTCTTTACTTACATGATAAGAATGTATCTAAAGTTATTTAGCAACAAAAATTGAACTAGAGGCAGGATTTCTGATGTCCAAGCTTAGGACTTGGTTATGCAATACTTTCTTCCTTTAAAGTATCCATGTCAATCATCTGGAAATAAAAATAGGAGTGCTTGGGAACAGAAGTGTTGGATGTCGCCAATCCCCTTCCCTAGCTTCTTCCCCTGTGATTCCAGGCACAGCTGTAGGGACTGTTCTGTGGAAGCTCAGATTTAGGCTGCCTAGATCCCACCACGAGAGGAAACCTACAGGCTGTACGTTTCTTTCTCAGGTTAAGGAAGCACTCTGTTGTGTGCATAAATACAGTCCAGGAGGGCCAGGAATGAATAACCCTAGAAAACTGTCAATCAGTGCAGAATTGGAGTGGTGGATGAATGCTCTAACAGCAAGATGGATAACCCAGGGAGGCATTTTGCATGTTTCTCAGAGTTGCTTGGGGAATAAACAGTGGCCCTAGTCACGGGAACTTATGTTGATTTTCTCTTCTTTCTTTTCTCACTATCCATGACCCTGTTTGTGTTTCCTGAAACTACTTCCCAAATGAACTACCTGTACCCAAATCTTTGTCCCAACTCAAAAAAAGCCAAAAAAGTTATTAAATCAACATTTGCTAATTGACTGTGCTAGGCCTTGTGACAAAGGCCTACAGGTGGAAACTTCTTGTACTGGCCCTGAAACGCATAATGAGACCAACAAGTAAAGAACAATAACAACAGAATACCTTAGAATGACAGTATATTGTTGAGAATACTACACTAGTGGCAAGAACAAAATGACACATGAAGACAAGGAGGGGACAATGTCATCTACCGCATTCGTTGAGGTGGGACTTCCTAGAAGATGTATTGTTTGAGCCTGGATGGAGTATGCATTAAATATAGCTATAATGACTCTATTTTACGCCAATGTGAACCGCAAACCCAATTACTACCACTTTCTGCTCTAGATAAGTGCTGTAATCTGCCCTGTCATAGTATGCGGTATTTTGATTTTACGTAGTACATGGAGGTATAGTTGAACATTTCTAGTTAATTATGTGAGTTAATGAATACAGACCCATTAACAGAGTGGTAAGTCCTACAATACATTTAGAAACCTAGTCTGGGTGAGGACAGAAAGGAGAGGAGCTCAGTGAAGGAGAGGCTACCAGTCTGGAGACCTGTCAGAAGCTACTCCTGTCCACAGGAGAGGTAACAGCCTGAATGAGGGAGTGGCTACAGAAATGGAAGGAAGACACTAGATGGAACAGGTGCACTGAAACTGCTGTGAAAATTTTTCTGGTTGTAAGCAGTTGGAAGGTGAAACCTGTCCTACCAAGGACAGCGCTCTACAGGAGAACACGTGCACACAGACACACAATGCAGTAGGAGAGCTGAGTCAATCAGTTGATATAATTAGGACAATACTGTTATTTGCCTTCAGTTATCAGAGGATTTTATCGTGAAATAATCAGATATCTGCCATTCTTTTCCCACTTGACTCAGATGTTGAAGAAATGCTACACCTATACGTGACAGGCTTTCTATTCCAGGCTTTCTCGAGCGTTTCACGTTTATTGCCTCTTTTGTCCTCATAAACTCTCATTTGACAGACGAAGAAACTCCAAAAAAGGTCAAGAACTTACTGGACATTTACTGCTAATTCCCGAAGTAGCAAGGATTAAGCCCAGGCGCCCTGACTCTAGAGTTTCTATTCAACATGGCACCAGAATCATGGGTCAGGCACACAGGCTAAACGCAGGTCCCACTTCTGTTTGGGTCCTGAAGGGATCCCTCCTGTTGGGGTCAGAATGCCTGGTTCTGAGATCAGAGTCTCTCCTCGTATAACATGGAAGTAATAACGATGCCAGGGGTTTGGTGCAAAGAGAGAGTGAGCTAAGGAACGTGTAGTGACCTTGAAAATGTGCATGTGGATCCGTAGACTTGACTGACATAATCACCGACTACGAACATGCGATCCTATGGACTGCACTCTTCTGTCTAAGCTCTGGCGTGGCTGTAGCGAAACTCCACCTTCGAAGCCCCGCCCAACGCGGCGAAGGCAGGGCCAGCAGACCTGTGTGCGCATGCGCAGTCGGTGACCGCCGCCTCCCTCACCGGAGCCGGGCTTTATTTCGGTTTAGGAGTGGCAGTTGGTGAGATGTGCATGGCGCAGGCGCCGAGTCTCCCGGCTCTTCCTTCGTGGCTCTTCCTGTGTTGCAACGCGGCTCTTCCTGTGTCCAGAGCGGCCGTGTGGTCTCCCTGACCTTGTGCAGAGGTGCTCGCCGTGGGCCCCGTCGTCGGCCTTGGGAACGACAGCAGCGCAGCCGGGAGGGGGGGAAGATGGCGCCCCTCGGAGACCCCAGTCCCCAACGTCCTCTCGCGGCGACCTGAGAGCTTGGCCGGGTCGGCTGCCTTCCTCCGAGCGCGGACTTGCTCCTCGGCGCCGCTTCCAGGGTACCCCATTGCTCAGCCGCGGGGCGGGCAGGCTGCGCGGATCCGTCGGAGCCCGAGGCGTCTCAAGCTCCCGGATCTCCCGCCGGCGCCGGGTCCCAGGTCGGGGATTCGGCTTTTCCTAGCGGGGTCGTCTCGGAGCCGAACGCACTGCCTCGGGAAGCGCCGGAACGGGCCGGCCTGGGAACGAGGTCACCAGACTCCCGGGGCGTTGGCAGGAAGAGGCGCGGGCTCCTGGGTCCTTTCCTCCGCGCTGCCAGGCAGGTCTGCGTCCCTGCGCCGGGATCTGGCGAGCTGCGCGCTTCTTGGCGGGGGACGTCCTGTCCAGGAGCTCCTCCACCTGCTGGCGAGTATGGAGGCTCCTCTGCCCTGCCTTGCCCTGGAGGTCAGGACTCCAATCTAAGGAAACTACAGGCTCCCTGTGCTTGTAATTCGCTTTTTTTTTTCTTTAAGGGGAGGTGAAAGTGCAAAAAGGGTGAGATGTCCCCAGGTTGGAAGACTGGAATGCATTGGCATGCCAGGAGGTAACACCTGTTTCTTTTTAAAGTTAGAAAAAGAAGACGACGGTCACCTTTCACCATGTTACTCTTGAACCAGGAATAGAAAGGAAAGTTTCTGCTTACTGAGAGATAACTTCGCAACCAATTCGAACCGTGGGACTCTAAGAATGGTCAGTTTCCCACTGTTTCATTTGCTGTTGTTGGAAACAAGAAGGCCAAGACACACTGACCCTCTTTTAGACTGTGGAGGCCAGTCTGCTACTGAGAGTAGTTGCGCTCTGGGTGACTTTTCGGGTTCTTGGAGTCTTGTCACTCCAACCAATTTCTTTTCTCTTCCTTGACTTCTCCCACAAAACCACGTATCCTGGAGCATCTAGGACATTTGCTGATGGCTCAGGATTAGAGCCATGTGGGAGACTACACTTCGAAAAGACTGAAGTTGACAGACAAGAATAATAAAATTTGGAGAGTCTGTCAACATATCTGTCCTCTGATCCATTTTCACAGTCCTTTTTCTTATTTTTAAACTGCAACTAGGGAAATACGACCATAGTGTCCCATTAATTATTCTGTACTGATCTAGTGTCTTAGCCTCTGAGTTCAAGTCTATTTCTGCATTAATTTTCCTGAAGAACACTTTGGACAGCTGCTTCTCTGGTTCAGTTTTTTAATGAGTTTCTGTTGCTGAAAGGTACAAGTTTCTATTAAACTTTGGATTGAGGTTTCTTTATCTTAGCATGAACCTTCTATCCCATATAAAGTGTCTTTCTCGGTTGAAGAGAAGCTAGGTTCTTCCAAGTTTCAGTATAATCTTGTCTGCCTGCTCACCTGTATACAGGAATTTTTGCTTGGTATATGTTTATTTCATACATAGAATTTGAGCTACTGTCATTTATCAGGCATGGTATTCGGTGTGGGCAACAGTGGTCAGGTACACAGTCTGTCTCTGTCCTCTTGGAGATTTTAACCTGATGAGAAAAATAGACATCAACTCAGCACCTAATTGTTTTTAAATGGTGATTAGTATTATGAGTGAAATATATAGGATGTTGTTTGAACTATTCATGGAGAAAACAGATCTTTGATGGAAGGCAATGAGAAGAGCTAGGGATGGTTTCACTGAAGAAATGACACTGAGCTGAGAGTAGCCACATGAGAAAGATCGAATGAGAAAAAGTGACAGGAGAAGAGCATTCAAACCAAGAGAACTGCTTCTGCAGAGACCTTTAATAATTATCCTATCTTATCTTTTTAGAAAGTAAATTAATTCAAATGTAAGTGCTTAACCGTTTGTGTGTGTGTGTGTGTGTGTGTGTGTGTGTGCGCGTGTGTGGTGTGTGTGTGTCAGGATCTCATTCTTACCCAGGCTGGAGTGCAGTGGCATGAATTCAGTGATCATCGCTCACCACAGCCTTGACCTTCTGGACCCAGGCTACCCTTCCATCTCAGCATCCTGAGTAACTCAGACTACCAGCATGCACCACCATGGCGAGGTATTTTTTTGACGTTTTTATAGAGATGAGAATTTGCTATGTTTCCCAGGTTGTTCTCAAACATCTGGATTCAAGCATCCACCCAACTGTGCTTCCCAAAGTGCTGTGTACAAGTATGAGGCACCGTGCCTAGCCCTTTTCTTTTTTTAAATCTCTCTGATATGTGTAGCACTATCTGTCACAAATGCTAGGTACTATACTTAATATATGTTTGATTGAGCTTTATTGGGAGTTTGGGCAGCCTCTCTAGCTCTCTCAAATGCACCACTGTCAATGTGCAGAACTATTCCAACACCACAAAGAAACCCTCTTGCTGTCTGTTAATACTCACACCTAACCCCTCCCCTATATCTGTACCCCTGTCAACAACTATTCTGTTTTTCATCTCTATAATTTTGTCATTTTCTATCATATTTCCTAATGGAATTACAGAGTGTGTGATTTTTGAAATTGATTTTTGTTACTCAACATGATGCTTTTGTGATTTCTTCCCAGTTGTTACATTTACCAATAGTTCCTCTTTATAGCTAAATAGTATTTCATGATATGGAAGTACCTCAGTTTGTTTACCTATTCACCTATTGGGCATTTTGGTTGTTGCCAGGTTTTGGCTCCTATAACCTGTATGAACAATCATGCACAGGTTTTTGTGGATGTTGCATTTCCTATCTCGCAGCTAAAAGCCCAAGAGTAGATTTGCTGGGTCACATGTAATGCACACCTAGTTTTATAATAAATGGATAACCTTTTCCAAGTGGTTGTGCCATTTTAGATGCCTACCAAAAGTTTAGGAGATATCTAGTTTCTCTGATTCCTCACCAGTATGAGATGTTAGCCTAAAGTCTGTTCTAAGTGTGTGTGCTCTCTCATCATGGTCTTAATCTACATTTCCCTATGGTTACTATATTGAAAATCTTTCCATGGCTTGTTTGCCTTCCAGATATTCTCTTTGGTGATATATGTGTTCATTTTCTTTTACTCACTTTCTAACTGGACTGTTTACTTCTTGACTATCATGTTTGTAAGCTCTTTATATGTTTTGGATATGAGTCCTTTGTCAGATGTCTGCAAACATTTTCTCTCAACCCGTAACTTGGCTTTTCACTATCTTAAGCGTAGGTTAAAAAATGAACCTTGATCTTGATCTCATATCTTATCCAAAAAGTAACTCAAAATGGATCATAGATTTTATTGGAAAACATAAAATACAACTTTTAGCATCAAACAGGAGGTAATCTGCGGGAAGTTTGGCTTGTTGAAGAATTCTTAGATATAACGCAAATAGCATGACCTATTAAAAGACCATTTATTGATCTTTTTAAAAATGAAAATGTTTGCACTGTAAAGGACCCTGTTAAGTGGATGGTTGCACTTTACTTCGGTCACTTTGCAATGGTTTAGGAAAAGCAAGATATGACATTGTCTTTGAATTACTTCATAGGCTAATATAGACAGCTGGGGGCTTTACTGATTTTAATTGCCTTCTTCACAATCGTTTCCTAGTGGCATGATGTCTTTCTTGACAAGCAACTGTTAGAACTGTAGAGGATATATTCAATATGGATCTGCTTTGATTTTGTTCTATTCTCTCTGGTTAGAAGCATTTTCCTGGCCTTGCCTATAGATCCTTAATGATATGCTACTTACTGATCTTACATGGAAATATGACAAAAATTAGAAAACAAATTTTCTTTGCAGTGGAACTCACTGTCCTATAAACATAATTTTGACCTCCCTTGACTTTTACTAATAAATGAAAAATGAAATCTGCACAGCAGTTTTTTTGTTTTATTTTTGAGTTGGACTCTCACTCTGTCACCCAGGCTAGCATGCAGTGGCACACTCAGGGCCACTGCAGCCTTGACTTGCTGGCTTCAGGTGATCCTTCTGCCTTGGCCCTCTATGAAGCTGGAATTACAGGTGTACACCACCATGCCCGGCTAATGTTTTGAATTATTGTAGAGACGAGTTCTCGCCATGTTGCCCAGAATGGTCTTGAACCCCTGGGCTCAGGCAGTCCTCTTGTTTTTGCCTCCCAAAGTGCTGGGATTATAGGAGTGAGCCACTATGCCCAGCAATTTTAAAGTGTGCCGTTAGTTTATAAAGCCCTGGAAAGCACATGGTATGTCAGTAGTTGGTACTAAAAGGAATTCATCCATGTGATCTTTCTAATCTGCGGAGACAATGTGAAAAATTAGAGGTGTTCCTTGTATGTTTTAGACATCTCTCTGTGTCATTAAGGAAAGATTGACATCGAAATTCGGGCAATGAGTGCTCCGAGTTCTTTTTATTTTATTTTATTTTTTATTTTTGAGTCAGGGTCCCACTCTGTCACCAAGGCTAAAGGTCAAGGGCACCATCCTGGCTCACCGCAGTCTCAACCTGCTAGGCTCAGGCGATCCTTCTACCTCAGCCTCTCAAGTAGCAGGGACTACAGATACGTGCCACTACTCTTGGGTAGGATTTTTTTTTTTTTGGCGGTTGTTTAGAAATCAGGACTTGCCAAGTTACTCAAGCAGGTCTCAAACTCTTGGGCTCAAGCAGCCTTTATGCTTTGGCCTCCCAAAGGACTAGGGTTATAGGTATGAGCCACTGTGCCTACCCAGAAAGGTTTTTAAACTCTATCAAAAGACAGGGAAAACATTTGTGTAGGGTCTGTACATTTTGTCAGATACAGAGTTTTCCTGTCACCTCCTCTTCTCATAAAGTTTATAATACTTGTCATCAGCAGCCAAAAATGTCAGTGATTGTGGCTTGTATGTTTTTCATCTCTGATCTGGACATTGTTATTGCAGTGCCGTGTGTCATGTTGATGTCTGGATAAAGACACAGTATTATTTGACCCAGCAGAGTTTCTATTTCCCTCTGAAAATTGGAGAACAGCTGCCTTCACTGAATAGTGGTCCCTGGAACTGTGGTCCCTGGGACTGTTTAGATAGAAATGGAAGGTATTCCAAATAAGAAGACCTTCCTGTTTTACAGAAGCAGCTTTCCTCCTTGTCATTTTATTGAAGGAAAACCGTTTTGACATCATTCTGTAATACTGGAAGAATGAAAGACTTACATTCTTTATCATATTTATAAAATAATTATTGGAGGGGGGACTATTGAGACAGTATTGTGCTTTATGTTAAACATTAAAAGTGTGGTCCAGTGGGAAGAGTTTCCATTTGGAGGATCCATTAATATTTGGTGTGCTTTATCTCCCAGGAAGTGATCAGCAAATACATACTTCTTTTGCCTCAAGGGTGTCTTGAAGAATTGATTCCACATTCAAGACTCTTGAAAGATGAGTGATAGCATAAGACAACTAAAGAAACGGAGAGAGTCGTGAATCATCACAAGCAAGAGTGATTCCCTGGACTTTTTCCTTTTTGGCCAGTGGGTGATGTGATTCCTGAGATAGTGATAATTAGGGGAGCAACTGTTAGGGGAGTCAGCAGAAAAAATGAGTCTCTGGAGGAATATGCTGAGTTTGAAGTGCTTTCCAGACATCCATTTGGAGGTTTCCAACAGACAGCTGGATATAAAATTGGAGGGCCTGTATTTGGGGTCATGATGATTTTTGTGAAGCGTTAGCAGATGGATCACTGATTCTTAGCCTTTTAAGGATAAGAATCTCAGTATCCTCTTCCCAGAAGAATATGAATATGCCTAAAGAGTCCCATAATTTCAAGGGGTAGTGGATTCCTTGAAACCCCCAAGTCAGTCCCGAGTTAACTCATTGTCCCTATGTCAGTCAGAAAACATGCACAAAAAATTTAAGTCATCTTGAATGATTTAGGAATGGTGTAAAGATTGTAACAATGTTTTAAAACTCATGTGAGGTATTATGTGTGACACTTCTCTCTAAAGGATTATCTTCTTTTACCAAGTGTATACCAGTGATCTCCCACAAGGTCTAGTGTGAGCACAGGAAGGGATTTTTATGGCAGGCCTGATATGCACAGGTGGGTTGGCTTGAGATCCAAACACATAGGGATGTGTGCATGTTCCGAAGAAGCAGAGAACATTGCAGGAATGCTATACTGAGCCTTGAGTCTTCCTGTCCCAGGGAGGAAGGGACAGCTACTATATCCATGGAAACTAGAAGGCGCTCAGATGCATCACCCCAGCACTCTCCACCAAACACATTATTGATTTCTGAATGCGAGGGAATGGCAGCATGTGTCCAAAGTGAGGTAGGCAAGAATGTACCCTCTTCAACAAAGGATTGTGAGTCGAGGGCAGGAGGCCCATGGAAGCAGAATGGGACAGACATAGTCAGTACCATTGTTACAATTCATGGGAAACAGCCAGGGCAAGATAGAGGCTCCCCTCCTGCTATATGGGCTTTTGAGTGTATCACCTCCTGGGAGATACTTTGTCCCTCTCATTTAAGTTAAGTGGCTTAATTTCTTCATCTGCAAAAAAGGAGTGATAATATCTTTGAAAAAACATTAAATTAAACTAGGAATGCAGATCCTTTGAGAATGTTATGGTTGTTAGATTGTGATAAAGATTTGAAGTTAGGATATATGAAGTATACTATACAGGGGCTGGAAAATAGAGACCAGGTATGCTCCCTTCCAGGTGGACTGATGTGGACATTCACAGAACAGTCCTCTCAAGCCTCCATTTTCAAAAAGGTGCCTCCTCTTTCCACATGGTTGTAGGCAGGGCAATCACATGGGAATAATGAGATCTCACACCACAGGCAGACCTGACCGCCCTGGTATGAGCAGAGAGTCCTGGACTGATCATGAGTGAAGTCAGACGCTTTTGGCAGGCAGTCTGAGTTTTGGGGGGCTTATTTGTTTTTTTATTTTGCCATGTAGAACAGAGGAGGTGCAGAAGTTGGTCGTCAGAGTCAAAGGTAAAACTAAAGCAGATCTAGAGAATAGAACTGAGATACATAGGAGAGGAAGACTCCTGACCACATTCACATTTCAATTTGTACCCTTCATGCAAGTGATATGGCTTCCCTTTCCTCATGGGCAAAGAAGTAGTGATTATATCTTTTTTAAAAAATTGAAATTAATGAGCTACGCATATGCGTACTTAGAGAATGTTATGTTTAGATTCTGATGACGATTAGAATATAGGAAATATGAAGTGACCTCCACAGTGGCTGGAAAATAGTAAATCCAGTCACAACTTAGGTGTGAGCTATTGTGTGTAACCTCACAGATCCCCACAGTGTCTGGCATGCATTCAGCACTCACAGAATGTTTTTTGGGAGATAAATGCATGAAGTTACAGTTTGCCTCATCTCATGTCTAGTGATGAAAGCTCTTTTTTCCAGATTAATTCCACATTCTGCTGGTTCCTGCCTCATGCTCTGTGAGATGTTCTGTCTACCCTTATGATAAACTCCCTCTTCTGCCTCAGCTTGGGTGGCTTTTTGTTACCCACTGAAGCACATAGTGACATATGACTCATACAACATCCATCTCCAACTAGCTCCTCCTTTGCTTACCTCTTCTATGGAGACTGAAACTGATCCTTCCCTTTCCCCACCTTCCTTGCAGCTATAGTTGCCTGTGTGACACATATTTGACCAAAAATATGTATGAGCAAAAATCTTGGGAATGTTCCTTTTTATTAACTTCTTTCAACATATATGGTTGTATGCAGCAGTTATCACGCTGACAATAGTCCAAAGCAAAACACACTCCGGATTCCCAAAGGCATTGTTCCTAACCAAGTCCAGCAACTGACTCTTCTCTTGTTATAATAAAAATTGGCAGCCATTAGCCTATGGTGTGATCTTATGCCAAGAAATTCCAAATGGAATCATTGACAAAGAAGCGTTCTGGGTACCATAAGAGTAAAGCAGACTGCAAACTTGACCTGATGTGGCCACACCATTGCAGATTTGAGCGTGCGTGGGAGAAAGCAGAAAAGGAAGGCAGAAAGGCAGTGGGATAGATTTGTAGACTGAATGAAGTGTTTTGGGGAAAACAGAAAAGCACCTATAACAAGAAAAACAGGAACAGAAAGCAGGAACGTGACCTTGAAGAGGGTGTCAGTCCAGGAATCTGTTGGTGGCTTGGTTAGGAGGTGGGTGGTATCAGAACTATGACAAGAACCAGAGGGCCTAGAGGAAGAAGATACAAGTTTTTCAAAGACCTGAGACTGAGGAGGTAAAGCTGTGCTGGGACTGGAGAGGGAATTATTAGCAACAGGTGAAGAGTCACAGGAGCCAGGTTTAAGAGAAAGGGGCTAAATGACTATCTTCTTGTCCCACAGGTTTGTCTGACATTAAGAGATTGCTCATGTGTGGAAAAGGTACAAGTGAAGAAATTCTGAGAAAATGATGTGAAGGGCAGATGCCTTGTATTCCACCTGTCTGCCTGGGGTTGACCTCACCTATTGCCTATAGAGGGCCTCATGTAGACTTAAATGAGGCACTGAACTTCTCCAGCCTGTTTCACCATCTGTCAATGAAGATGGAGAGAAGGGGATGCCTCTGTGAAGGGCAGTAGGAAAGTTATGTGAGTTAATAAACATCAGAGAGGTGCTGGGCCTGCTGGCAGCCCCTAAGCAAGATGGTGCTTCTTCAGCCTAGGAGGAGGCAGCTGCAACCTCCTCAATTTGTACCCCTCAAGCAAATGATATGGCTTCCCTTTCTTCATGGGTAAAGAAGTAGTGATTGTATCTTTTGAAAATATTGAAAGTAATGAGCTATGGATGTGCCTACTTTGAGAATGTTATGGTTGTTAGATTCTGACAATGATTAGAAGATAGGAAATATGAAGTGAACTGCATAGGGGCTGGGAAATAGTAAATACCATCACAAGTTAAGTGTGAGCTATTATGTGTAAACCTTTACAGATCCCCACACATGGCATCTGGCATGCATTCAGCACTCACAGAATGTTTGTTGGGAGATAAATGCATTAATTTACAGTTTGCCTCATCTCTTGTTAGTGATGAAAGCTCTACCAATATAAGGAGAAATGGCTATATACTAAATAATGTTAAGTACTGTATAGGTGCTCATTTAACTCTTTCAGCAGCCTGTCTTACAGAAAACAAACTGTTAACTTATTGTTAACTTAAGGGAGGTTAACTTACTCACTGAAATTCACACAGCCGCTATGTGATAAATCATTGATTCAACCCCGGGCACTCTGATGTCTGGACTCACCAGTGTATTAGCCCCCAACAGCAGATGATATGAAACTAGTACAGATGGAAAAACGAATGTTGAGAGCAAATAAGCAGATTTTCAGCAAAAGAACTTACAGCCTTTGGTGTTGGATACCTGTTCTAGCATAGAGTTCTGTTTGACAACACTTTTAAATTCATGCCACAATGATACTTTAAGTTTGACCAGTTCTCCATGAACTTTGTTTCTCTGTTTTTCTTCCATTCAAAAAATGCCTTTTAAGGATTTCTTTGAGACACTTTATGGGCCAAGTAGAACTTCTTGCCTTCTGAAGGTTCATTGAAAAGTCAGCTCACAAAAGGCAGATAAATAGGAGAAAAAAGTATACAGATTTAATCAAGAAGTATACACAAGGGCCATCAGAAAGAAGATACAGGGAAATTGTTCATTGTTATTCTGAGAATCCATAAACTGTGCACAGCTGTGTAGAATAAAAATGCTTTGTTAGCTTCAGTTTCTCTTTGATGAGTGATTTCTGCTTCCTACAAAAAAAAAAACAAGAGCAATATTAATATTAATTCCCCACTATAGAAAATATTACGAAGAACCTGTATGGGCTTCTTGTCCATGGAAGTCCTTATGGAGACCAGAGAACATTTGTCCCACAGTCCTTATTTGGGAGAATGTGGGAGAATGGTAGCCCAAGCCAGTCTTTTCTAAATTGTAAGGTCTCTTGAGGACATGGGCTTGTCTTTTCTTTCTTTCTTTTTTTTTTTTTTAAGATGTGGGGTACAAGTCAGGGTTAGGTATACAAATGTTCATTATGCAGGTTTAGGGTTAAGGTTAGGGTTAGGGAACAGAGTCATGGAGTAAGCACATGACATTAGAAAATGTCACTGAGGAACTTGCTTGAGGCCAGGTTGCCACAAGCCTTCAATGCATAAACACAAGAAGGCAAAGCACGAGAAGACAAGCTATGCCTGCATTCCTCAAAACACCTGGCACTGTTGGTGCACAATAAATGTATTCTGAGGGATGAGTGATTAATGAATACATGAAGGAACGAGCAAACCATATTGATCTCCTGTCATTCTACGACCATTGGCTGAGCACTTCTCTGGGCTGGGTTCTGGAGTTTTCAGAATCAGACCCAGTCTTTGTCCTTCAGAACATAATGGTACAGTAGGAAAAGTAACAGTTCAGGTTCAAATGCTTTCAGAGGGTGCTCACTAGTGCGAGAAATTACATCTCTCTTTTCTCCTTGTTCACATAGGTCTGCAAAAATAATAATAATAATTCAGTTTCCCTTTCCAGACTACTCAAAATCATTTTCCACATCCAAGACGGCACCATCCTAGCTCTGACACCCAGCTCTGGCAAGCCAACTGAAATGTTGGTCCTGTAGAGTCATGTGCATCGAGGGTTTCCTGGGTAGTCCATGACCGAGTCTCTCTGACATTCCTCTTCATGCCCACCTGGAGCGGTCACTGCCTGTCAGCTTCCCTCTGGACTTCCAGCTCCCCTTGGGTCCACCGCAGTTTGGACTGAAGCTCAGCTATGAGTAATTCCTCCTTCTTCTGTTTTCCTGTGAGGTCCATGGAAAGACAGGGTGACTCATTTAGGTCAAAAAATAAAGGCAGTAGTTTCTTGCCACTTCAGTCAATCACCCGTGGTCTGAGACAAGGTTAGCCACTCAGTACATGGCCTTGGGCTAAGGACACAACCTCCTTGATCCTCTGTTCCACAAACATACTTCAAAATAATAGCCATTTATGATAAACCCACAGGCAACATATTGCTAAACAGACAGAAATTAGATGCGTTTTCCCTGAAAACTGAAACAAGACAAGGCTGCCCATTCTCACCACTCCGGTTCAACATAGTGTTGGAAGTCCTAGCTAGAGCAATCAGATGAGAAGGAAATCTGGGGTATCCAAATAGGAAAAGAAGAATTCAAGTTATCCCTCTTTGCTGACAACATGAGCCTATACCTCAAAAATCCAAGAGACTGTCAAAAACCTCCTTGCACTGATAAAGGACTTTGGCAAAGTCTCAAGTACAAAATGAATATGCAAAAGACAGTCACATTGTTATACACCAACAACAAACAGGCAGAGAACCAAATGAAAAGCACAATACTATTCAAAACACACACACACACACACACACACACACACACACACACACACACACACACACACACACACACTGAAATATTTGGCATCTTCCTAACCAGAAACATGAAAGATCTTTACAGTGAAAACAACCAAACAATACTCAATGAAGTCAAACATGACATAAACAAATGGAAATATATCTCATGCTCATGGATTGGAAGAATCAACATTGTTAAGATGTTCATCCTATCAAATGCAATGAAACACCCATTAAATTACCAACATCATTCTTCTCTGACCGGGAAACCACAATGCAGAAATTCATATAGAAGCATAAACCAAGGCATAGCCAAAACAATCCTTAGCAAAAAAAACAAAGTGGGAGGTATCTAACATCTCCAGACTTTAAGTTTTATTATAAGGCTACGATAATCGAAACAACCTGGCACTTGTACAAGAATAAGCATTTAGACCAATGGAACAGGATAGAGATTCCAGAAGCAAAACCTCAGTTCCTCAACCAACACATGGTTGACAAAGCCTGTCGTGGGGGTGAATGAATTCTCCAACTTATTTGTTCCTGAGTGAATGTGTTCTTAAAAGGGACCTGGCACCTCCCTTCTCTCTTTTTCTTTCTGGTCCCTTTTCCTGCCATGTGACCCACACACATCAGCTCCCCTTTGCTTTCATCCATGCGTGGAAGTTGCCTGAGTTCCACACCATATACCCATTGTTGATTTTTCCACCCACCAGAACTCTGAGTTAAATGAACATCTTTTCTTTATCAGTAAGCCAGCTTCAGTTATTCATTTTAGGGGAACAATACATGGACTGGGATGGTGTCTTTTGTATGCTAATAAGATGACTAGTGGCTGGGAGCACCCTCATCACTTCAGAGGGAGGCTGATCACCAGAAAGACCAAAGTATAATTAGAAAATTGGAATTTTCAGCCATACCATCCATTGTTTAGAGAAGAGAAATGGACTAGATATTTACTTAATAACCAATTATTTAATCAGCCATGCCAGCGTGGTACAGCCACTGTGAAATCCGAAGTATTGGAATTTAGAGAACTTCCATATTGATGAACACACTGAGGTGATAAGAATATGGCACACTCAGGAAGGGCATGGACACTCTGGGTTCTTTATGCCATACCTTTCCCTATGAGTCTCTTCCAGCTGACTATTAGGAGTTTCATTCTTTAAAGTGTCTTTCTGATTTCTAGGATCCTTTCAGACAATGTTTTTAACATAAGGTTGAAGTTGTGGAAACTCAGTTTATTGCCCATCATTCAGAAGTACAGGAGGCCTGTATTTTCAAGTTATAAGAAGCCCAGGCATATGAAGTGGGGCTAGACCAGTGGTATTGATCCCTCAACTAGTGGGATCTGACATTAACTCCATGTAGAAAGTTTCAGAATTGAAGTACATTGAAGGACAAACAATTGATGTTGGACAATTGTTGGTTTGAGGGGGAAAACACACATTTGGTATCGGAAGTGTGAGTAGAACTAGGACACCCACCCATTCACAAACTGTAAATTTTCTGAAAACATGGACCAGTATGACATGTTCCTACATTCTCAAAGCCGGACAAAGGGTCTGGCCACCTTGATAATTTATTAAAGGACAAATGTCTCCAATTCACACTTCAATGGAAACAAATTGAAATGTTCCAATGTTACTCTGGGTAATGACCTGGGACTTGGTTGAATCACAGAATCGCTACTCCAGAATGGACCTGTTTCCACCAATCTCTTGTTGCACATGAAGTGTACACAACACAAACACAACACACACTCCTCACACACATCTTCACACAACACTCATTACATATACACACAAACCATCTACACACACACACACACACACACACACACACACACACACACACTCACCCATCCACACACACAAATGTAGTCACTCCAGCCTTGAGTTGTGTCTCTAAAATCGACTGCTAATCAGTGAGAATGGCCACAGTGGCCTCACGATCTAGGGGAGGGCTGCCGGGGGCCTCGTGGCTCAAGCACACAGACTTCCCACTCTCCCTGCTTGGTGTATATTCCTCACCTGGTACTTCTCTGGATTAGCAGCTGCTGCAGAGGGTCAATCATCTTTCCACGCTGATGGCTCTCCACCTGCACCCTCTTGACCTTGTCACGCTGGTGGTCCATCTCTCTTGGCTACGCTGCTGCTGGTCCCAGCTAGCCTGTAACTGCCCCTCCAGCTGGGCAACCTTGATCCTCAGGCAATCCTGACAGTGCCTCAGGTACTCAATGATAAACTGTGCCAGGCGCAGCACCTTGAGCACTGCTGGGTCCACAGCTTGCCCTCACTGGTGGCATACCTCCTACTCCAGTTTGCAGAAAGTGATGCCAGTGATGTGTGCCTACAGAGTGGCCACATCCAGCTCCTGGGCAACATGGTCCATGTCCAGGGCACTAATGCTCCACCAGTTGATAGTCTCATGGCGAGGCTGGAACTGGAAGGAATAGACTCTGTAGGCCCAAATCAAGGGGACTTTGAAGCTCTCAGCTGTGGCAACTGGGGACTGCATTGCTGAGGAAGCCTTCTGCTGACCACCAGCGGAGGAAACCACCCAGTCCACAGCAGCAGCCAAGGAGCTAGAGCAGGCCTGGAAAATGAGAAGAGTCTGAGTTAGAGAAGTCATGTCTGGCAGCATGTACTGCATACTAAGCCGGCAAGAGTCTAAGGGGGCAAGGTGAGGTGTCTGCACAGCAACTGAGGTATGGAGGGTATGTGCTGACATGGCCAGACCTGTGGAAAAGAGCTGTGGGGCTTTGTATTCTCACAGATGTGGACTAGAGTTCTCTGCCTTGACAGGTCCCTGCACATCTCTAAGCCTCTTGTGCTTATAGGGGTCCTGGGGCCCACTTAGCAGTGTGTGGTAAGCATGCCAGTTGAAGCACTCAGCCTAATGGCTGGCACATAGCAGGTCTTCAGTGAACCTCCCACCCCTTACTCCACTCCAGGAGAGCCTGGACTAGGTCTTTGTCAGGTGGTGGCTGTCACAGTTAAGAGTGGGCATAGATTATGGTGTTTGAGCGGAAAGGTCAGAAAGATGATAGATTGGTAGATAGATATCAACATAGATACATACATACATACATACATACACACAGGCATACTTACATAGATAAGATGCAGTATTTGCACAGAGCCTATGCCCAATTGCCCATTCTTTAAATTCATATTTAGTTGACTTGTTATACCTAATACAATATAAATGCTATGTAAATAGTTGTTACACTTTATTGCTTAGGAAATAATGACAAGTAAAAATAGTCTTACATCTTCAGAAGAAGCCATCTGGTTTTTTCAATTTTTTAAATCTACATTTTGTTGAATCCAGTGATGCACAACCCACAAATA